ATATATATATATATATATATATATATATATATATATATATATATATAGGTATACATATTCATTTATTTATTCCAGTTGGAATTTGTAAGACATCGCCTCAAAGTTCGTTAATGAGCTTTATCTCAAAAAAAATTGCTTCCATACGTTTGGCTGTCGTTTTTGTTAGAAGTTGTATAATAGTCCGACACCGAGTGTCGAAAGTATTGGATACTTTTAAATAGGTACCGAGTAGGTATGAGTACTCATATGTGTGGACTCAGCACATCTCTAATACAAGAACGTAAATTTCAATTTACGCTCTTGGTTGACAGCGCAGCCAGGGTTCGGACTCCCCTACGATCGGTAAACTGAAAATCTACTACGCAACTCGATACCGGCGAACTACTTAGATTTGTTCGGGACAAAGCAAAGCGTATTAAATGTGCTTTTCTTTTTTAATAAAATCATGAGTTATTAAATTTTGAAGGGCCCTCCAACTTAGTAATTTTCAAATAAAGTATTAAGTTGTGATACTCCCAAGCACATATATAAACACCGGTGTACGAAAATAAACTATAATGCACATTACTCTTTCATTTTGTTTATTCCTTCAAGAGTTCGTTGCAATACGAAAACAAAACGGCTGAGTTTACTTTGCGATAGTACACTACAGTAGTTTAGTAGTTACAGACGAAACAACAAACGAAATGAATTGTGCAGAGAAAAAGATATGTATGTATGTAGTACATGTCTTTGAATTAAATTGAATATGAAAATTTACGAAAAAAGAAATATATTTTTTTTCACGTAATCGAAACGTTTACATACATATAAAACGTATGGTACCATTGTCACAAACGAAAATCAACAGTCTCTCGTTGGGGAAAATGAAAGTGAATCTTAAAAGTTGGTTCTGACTATGTACAAAACTGTATAAAACTACAAATGATATGATGATGGATGAGCAAATGGGAATTGTTTGTACAACCTATTTTCGCACGCTGATAAGCACTTGCGATGTTCCGCACCATGCGAACAAATAATTCATACTTTGTTCTAACTTTTTATCTGAATCGGTTTATTTATCGAAATGAATAATTTAGTTTTTGTTCTCAAGATAGTTTGTATAAAAATCTAGACGGCCACATTGTTAGCCACAGCCAAGTTGGCAGTCACTAAAGCATTTATAAATAAAATGTGAAAACATAACTAAATGGCCTAAAGTCGATAACCGTGTGTTTGTTTTGGGTGGCAGGCCGTGTAATTACACAAATTAACAAAATGACAACACACCGATGCGAGCAGAGAAATCAAAGTCGATAACCGTGTGTCGATGCATAAACATAAGGTGCCCCACACACTTTATGCAAAACTCATGCAATATTATGCACACTATACACTATCACAAGACAGTGATATATGAGACCACCCGTACCATAAAATATACGAAATTTACAATAGCCACATATAATTAAGTTTTTTTTGCTACTCGCCACCCAACTAGAATATACATATATATACAAGTACGTATATCTATATAGCCAAATATACACAAAAGGGAAAAAA